AGATCGGTTTTAAGTACCAGAGTAACCGAGTGAATAGCAATTACGAGGGTTACATTAACTAACTACTAAGGAATTGTATCTTCGTATTCGTATTTGGTAAGTACGTCGTGACGCCTTTGTCATCGTTGAACCTTTTCAAGATACGCTGCAGTATCTGTTCTCTAATATGGCATACAATGTAATTTGTCAAGCGGTAGACAGGCAGGTAGATAAGACGAGGAGGTGAACATTTTTGCTGTGGCAACGATACTGACATAACAGAAGATAGTTGTGAGTGTGTTCCGGCGCGAGCGGAGGGCGGCGGGCGGCGGGCGGCGTGCTGCGGCGGCGACGGGTGGAACACGGATGCTCTACACAAGCATCCCCGCTGCCGCGAGGTCAAATAGCTTTCGAGCAGGACGGGCTGCTTCCGGCGCGACCTTGACCCGGTCTCGAGATAAGCCGACACCCGCCGCCGCCTTGAACGGTTATTACGTCGTTAAACTACAAAAATTACTGCAATTTGTAGGAAGAAGGGTAGTTGAGTTAGAGAGTAATGTGGTAACCCTAATGCACAAAAATAACAGATTACATATTTTTAGTTCACAATACTGCATGCATTAATTTATTTTGAAACTTAAAAGTCAGCCTAAAATTGTTCATAGGCCATTTCTAATATTAACGATTTCTGTGACTCTGTGAGTTTGTCTTCTTTCAAAGAATCATAATGTCGCTCTGCTGGACTCCACTACACAACACTACGGACTGGGACTGTTACTAAAAACTACGTAACGCTACGCTGCTCTACAAACCGCTACGAATCTCTACAGAACGAAGAAATTGCTACGCGACGTTGCTGTACGCTACAGAATACTTTTATATATATACTTATAGCTGTGCCCGCGACTTTGTCCGCGTAAAATTCTGTCTCTGTGTAGCATTCTAATTATTTAGGCTACATATTTCACTAACACTTATAGTATGTACGTAACGACATAGAATATTGAACTCACAAAACATTCACAAAAACCTAATACTTCCACAAACTCTCGTGCCCTCAATGCCCTCTTTTTATTTTGGACTCTTGACGATAACATTTTTACAAAAATTGAATGTCATATTTATTTATATCAAATGCACAGACTAAAAAAAGTAGTTTGAAGCTACTGTCTATAAAAATGACGATACTTCCATATAACATTTCAAGCCCCTTTTCAACCTCTTACAACTCCTTTTTCTCGTTAAAAAAGTAGCCTATGTCCTTTTGCAGGCTCCGTGTACCAAGTTTTTGCGTGAAAGAAGAACAGACAAAACCGACGACAGATAGACAGACAGACAGAGTTACTTTCGCATTTATAATATTAGTAAGGATATAAAATAGATTATGTATAATATATGTAAGTGCGATGAAATGTGATTATATACCAATCCATATATCAGGTCAAAAGTAAACTACTTTTTTTAACAATTTCAATAAAATTCAGATAGTTTCAAATTTAACACACAAATACTTAAATTATTCATAGCTGTAAACTACATAAGTAACTTATATACATACTCATTTAACGAGAGTGTATATACACTGATTTGACAACTCAATTTATGTGCAAATAAGGTTTCAAACGAAAATTGGCCGCTTTTCTTGTCGCAAAAGATTATGTATTTTATTTATAAGCTCACGAAAAATATGAATGATTTAATGCAAAATTGTGATTTTAATGTAGGAGATAATAAGTGGACGGCGGAAGCACGCCGGGGGCACGCCACGGGTTAGCCGAGGGCACGCCGGGATGGTGCCCGGCTTACTTTTAAATCAATTTCTTAATCGAAAAGGTTTTAGTTACTTGTTCGAGATTAATATGATTGCTGCCTGCCAGGGGCGTAGTGAAATCGCCACACGTTCGATTGTAACTCTAAATGCCGTACCCTATCGGAGCACGTTTACATCTTTAACCTTTTTGATAAATAGTGTATGAGTTTGATAAATAATGGGCGAGCGAGCACGAGTTCATTTAAAAAAAAACCATGTCACTCCATCCCCCATTTGTTCCAGATACCAACTGTTTTCATCTGATTATTAATTGATATTACTTTACTATTACGGTGTGATTATTCAAGAACGATGTTGTACCGCAATTTTCAAGGTAAAATTTTGACAATTTCGTTTAGGCCGCCGCGCCGTAGCCCTCCTCTTCCTCGATCCACAAATAATTCGAAGCACGTCAACGAACGCCAAAGAATATAAATTAGTTTCAAGAATTCATATAAAATTTCAATTCAATAAAACAATAATAGATGATAATTATCTTCAACTCTCACAATAAATTAGTAATAAACTTTTAAGGCGCTGTCAGACGCAAATTGCGCTAAAAAGACTTGGTTTGTCATATTTTAGTATGTGTAACTTCAGTCCTTTAACTAGATTCTGGTCGAACAGAATTTTGATTGGATGCAATTTTCTCGATAAATTTATTTTTTGAAAATGTGCCTTCTTCGGTGGGAAAAACTGTACATCTGCAAAACTGCGACGAATTTAAGAAATCTAAATGCTTTATTCAATACATATCTAAATTCTGGTCGAACGGTTTTTCGATACGTTCATTATATTATTTAATTTTTAATCGAATTTTATTTGAAAAATGCGTTCGTACGCACGTACCAACGAAGATATACGGTGGAGTGGGCGCTGGATAGGATGCCTAATGAGTGACTTCCACAACAAAGGAAAAGACGAAATAACTTGTGTGGAGCCGAAATCGATCAAACCGCAAGCCTCTGTCGCGATTCGGCTGGTATCGCCTGAGGGGCTATAGGTGGTGGTGATGCGCTTAGATGGCATTAGGTTTGATTGTTTTCTTGTTTGCATTGAATAGGCTCCGTAAACTACTGTACCTGGAAAAATTCTTTCACATTTGGTCAGCTACACTATCGCCTGGCACTATTTTTAAAAAGGAAATATTTTTTTACTTCACGTATTCGTTCGAGCAACTGTTATCATTATTAAATTACTCGTACTATTTTGTTTGTAAAAAGTATTGTGTCCATGTTTTTAAAGCTTTATACTTTTTTTTTCTAATACAAAAATACCGTGTTAATGCATTTTAAGAATCAAAGCAAAAATTATTTATATGAAAAATGGTATATAGAAATTATAATAGCATACGCAAGTATGTCTAAATAAGTACATCGATTTTCCAAAATCAACTCTTATATTAGCTCATATTTACTTTGGTCTTCTGATACCAAAAACTCCGTTTGCAACATATTGTCATCTCTTTTTTGTCAGAGATAATGACAAGGATGACGATAACATGTCGTACATATCGTAGTTTTGGTCATCAGAAACGAAAGGAAAGTTTTGAATGGCTGTCAAAAAATGAACCTTAAAAATAGACCGGCTATAAGACGTTTTCTTTTGTGCGTATTTGATTTTGAAAATTTGGCGCTGATGGTAGCGGTTTGTAGCGGTGGTTTTGATTCGAACTAATATAATTTATAGTGTTAACTGTCATGTAACATCAACGAGCGCGTTCAAATTGGAACAAAGTGAAAGTAGTTACTTCCAAGCAATCGCCTCGTCAATTTTAGAGATAAATATAAAGAGCGCGCGGCCGATTTCGCACGGGGCCCCCCGCGCTTGCTTTGTACCTCACCTCCTTCAACCTCCTAAAAAACGGGATAGTTCAGTACAACAGCGTCTTAAAAATTAAATAGTTTATTGAAATGAAAAATGTACTATGTAATTAAAAAAATGTAACATTTTAAAAACTTCGAAATAATTACATAGATACTTTTTTACATGATAAAATTGTCTATATAAATATATTATGTTGCACGAATGTGCTGTCCCGCCTGGAGCAATACTGCTTCCACACAGAAGACAGTCGTCAAGTGGAAGCAATTTCACATTTCGTCTTTTGAGGAGGCCTAATTTTAGTCCTCAATCTCTTCGCACCCTTTTAGCCGACTTCAAAAAGGAGGAGGTTATCAATTCGTCTGTATGTTCTTTTTTTGTGTATATTACCGCGTAACTTCGCTGCTCGTACTCCGATTTTGAATTTTTTTTTTGATCGAAATGTTTTGCTTGCAGCTGCGTCCCATTTTTTTCTTATAAGTAAAGAATGGCAAGGGGAAGTAGATTTGCCGGAGAGAGGCACGAAGAGGAAGGCATATGAAGGGGAAATATTCTCTTTCTGTACATCTCCGCCTCCGTCGATTAAAGGTAAGCAACGTATCTGCAACTGCGGAGGTATATGGGTGGAGGTCATCCCGCTGTATCAAGGAATCCAGATGGCTCGTTTGCTACCTAATAATATAATAAAATACTTCACACTGAGCTGTGCATACTGTCGGATGTAAGTCGTGGGCGTAATCTTGGGCTGACCTTGAGCATTCGGACGTCCGGCAGCAATCTGGTACACTGGATGTTTTTGTCAGCCGAAAACGACCATGCGTCAGGATACGGATGAGAGCTTACGTGTACGTTCTCGTATAGCTTATAGCCAAGCATCGACTTATCCATCTATAGAGATCAGTGGTTAAAAACGACAAGGGCGGCAAGTTATAGTATATATATATACACCTACAAACATATGTCCTGAACGCTACGTTTCTCTAGTATACTTACTATACTCTTTGACTCTTTGTCTTTGCCCAAAGAGTATATAAATATTGTCTTTGCCTTAATGGACTTGCGACAGTCGGAAAATATGTCAATGTCAAAAAAAAAAGATATTGGCGGGACTATAGCACTGATATGAATAAAGATTAAATGGACAGGACTACGGCGGTCCACCCTTGATCTTCTACCATACAAACACGGCTATTTAGACAATGTCACACGGCCGGGCAAAAATTTTCACTAGCAACACTAAACGAGATTCTGGCGCTCTCATGACTCATCTGTTTAGGATTGAAATTACTTAATAAAAAAAGTATTGTTTTGTTAATATATTTAATTCAAAACAAAATTTTAATAAAATTATGCAATAACAATGGCAATAACACATTTAATGTCACTCTTTTACGTTACGCTATTTTTGACAGTTTGTAGCCGTCAAAACATTTTCACAATTTGTTTATAATAATGATATTTGTACCATTATTATAAGTTACGAGTGTGTGGAATAGTTGAGTGTAAATTATTTATATAAATCTGATAATTTCAGAAGACCAAAAAAACTATGAGTGATCTGGAACGCAGTAGCCATCGCAGTACAGAGGAACACGGTGGCAAAAATCGCGAAAGGCATCGCAGCGGCAGTCGTAGGAGACACAGCGGGCGCCGTAGCGACAGCCGCGGCCGGCCAAGGAGTCGGAGCCGAGAGAGGCAGCACAGCCGCGACAGAATAAAGCGAGACCTCAGCAGAGAGCAGCGGAGAGACCGCAGCAAAGATCGTCGCGCTGCCGACGACGCTGGCCGCAGAGACTCCAACACCAGACCCAGGGAGAAGTCACGTGCGGCACAAAATCGCCGAAACGACTTTGATCGTGGCCGGAGTTCATTAAGAGATTGCAATAGTGGTGGGCTTGGCTCAGGTTACCCTTTCTATTTACTTACTGTACATAAATATTAGCATTTAAGATTAATTAGTGTAGGAAGAAAGTGAAGAAACATTTCACCCGCCAAAAATATCCATAGACAAATTGTGAGTTGATGCGACTAATGAAATGTCTTTTGGGTTTAATAATATGCAGTTGAAGGTTGATTATTCACACAAGGTTCAATGGAATGACCACTTACCAAATTACTATGCCTGTCCTAGAAATCAGTCATCTATCTTTGAAATATATCTTTTCTTGTGTTTTCCTGCCCTGTTCTCTCATCCTCTAGACAATTCTTTAATGGGTAAAAATTGATCAAGTCTTGATCTGCAGGATTGACTATTTCTCATTTCATCTACCCAAATGATTTCAGATAGCATTCAATGACAGATTACTTAGATTATTTTGGTTAATCAATGCTCTGCTCTTCTTAATATAATTGGAACAAGTTTCCCCTAGTCCAGTTTCCAGTGCTCCCATCCGAGTATAATGTCGGTGCCATTGAAAATATGGTGATTAGGTATTAACTAAGGTATCTCATACCACCTAACAACCACATTATCAATTGATATTTAAGTTTTGAAATTTAGTCAATAAATTTAAAATATTTTTAGTATAGATGTGATTGGATTGATATGAATAGTAATTGCAGGGCTGGGTTTGGCGGGGCCAGGGTCAGGGGCACGGGGCAGACACAAGCCGCAGGAGGAAGAGTTCCTGGATGCCCGGCGTGAGGAGCGGGAGCGCATCGGACAAACCGGGGTGTCCTCTGTGTGGGGCAAATCACCTCTCAGGCCAGAGTAAGTACCAATGTTGTATAAGAGAGGATCAAAACATCTGAGTGCATATTTCTATTGAATTGTAGTGCAATAATCTCCGCCAGTAACAAATATAGTTAAATGAGTACTGCAAGTGGAGAACTTACATCAACAATGTTATTGAGCCATCCCTTTCAATGCTTTTTATACATAAGAGGTATTTTTATGTAATTGTTGCTCTCATTACTAAGTGAAACTATTTGTGGTTAAACGGCAGTTATTATGTAGTTATTTGTTAATCTTGTTATTTATAACTAGCTCCGATGAGGAGCCTTCGCAGCCGAGCCATTCTGCCAAAAGTAAAGAAAAGAAAAAATCGAAAAAGTCTAAGGACAAAGAGGACACAAAAACTAAACTAAAGAAACTAAAAAAAAAACTAAAGAAAGTGAAAAAGGCGCGGAAGAAAGCAAAAAAGAAGAAGTCCAAGAGTTCGAGCAGCGAGTCCAGCTCCGAGTCCGGCTCCAGCGAAGACGTCTGGGTCGAGAAGGGACGTGAGTTGTTTTACTTACTCATTATACTTTGTCGTACATGCTTGTATCGAAGGTGTTCTGTGTCTGCGGAGATGTTTTCTATAAATGTATAATGTATCAGGATTCCTGTGGCTCCAGCCACTCAACGGCGACTATATGAGCTGACGACGAAGGTAACGTTGAACCTGGGACAGTCGAGTCATTATCCGGATCCTACGGACGACCTCCATAAGATAGAAAATCCAGTCAGAGAGAGCCTCAATAAGCGATAAAAACATGGAGGTCCCTCGAACTGTCGCTCATTCTGTTCCGACCGTAGATGATCCTCTGTTTAAATATTGCATTTACTGAAATACCTCGTGTTCATACATTTTCACAGAAGCGGAAGAAATCGAAAGTGTGTCGAAATCGTTAAAAGCGAATAGGAAAGGGTCGACGGAGGAGGCGGTGGGCCCGGCGGCGCGCGAGGCGGGCGGCGCTGTGGGCGCGCTGGGCCCACGCGACTTTGGGCGCGCGCTGCTGCCGGGCGAAGGCGCCGCCATGGCCGCCTTCGTGGCGGAGGGCAAGCGCATCCCTCGCCGCGGAGAGATCGGCCTCACCTCCGACGAGATCGCCGGCTACGAAGCCGTCGGCTACGTGATGAGTGGCAGCAGGTGCGTGTCGCGTATTGCGCGCCGCGTGTTGCGTGCCGCGTGTTGTGTGTTGCGCGCCGCGTGTTGCGTGCCGCGTGTTGCGCGCCGCGTGTTGCGTGCCGCGTGTTCAAAATTACAAAAAAACTACCTTAACTATTCCAGTTCATTTTTGTTATGTTAAAATAAATTTATCGTTTTTATATGTAAAATAAATTTGCCTTACGCAAATACTATTTTAAGGGTTTTATATTTTAGATGTGGGCGCAGCTTTAGACACAATATTTTTTATTTTGGTGCAATATCTGCTTATAAAAAAATGAAATAACTCAACGAAGATATAGAAGCGAGTGACTTTAACGAGAATTGTGTGCAGACACCGGCGCATGGAGGCCGTGCGCATCCGCAAGGAGAACCAGATCTACTCCGCGGACGAGAAGCGCGCGCTCGCCGCCTTCAGCAAGGAGGAGCGCGCCAAGCGGGAGAACGCCATCCTCGCGCAGTTCCGCGACGTGCTGCAGGCGCGTGCGCAGCGCCGCGACCACACCTAGCGCCCACATCCAGCGCCCACACACAGCCCCGCGCCTCCTCTTACTTCAGCATAAAGGAAGGTAAGCAAACAACTTCGAACCTACGCGATATTAGGATGCGACCGAAAATAAAACTAAACGGGGTAGATTATGCAAATACATTTTACAAAATCCCAAAAAACTTTTGCTATATACAAAATTAACAAAAATCAATAAAAAATATTCTGTAAGTTCACAGTTGTCGACAGTGAACTGTGGTCGGGCTCTCAGCCGGGCTGCGGCTCGTACGCCGCCAGACGCGCGCGCGCCACGCGCAGCTCCCCCGCCAGCACCAGCAGCGCGCGCTGCGCCGCCGCCAGCCGCGCGCTGCACGAGCACGCGCCGCCGCACGCCG